GGGGTGCAGGCATCACCCCGCCATCGAAATGCCAGCGCAAGCATCGCGGTGGCTGTTGATCTTTCCGCGCGGGCGCTGCGCGCGGCCAAACGCAGGCACCGCGTGCGGGTCAAAGAACACCCTCGCTATCGCGTCGCCAGTGCAGGCATCGCGGGCATGGTTTTTATCAGCGCAGGCACCGCCCCTGAAGCGCAGGCACCTCCGGCACGCCACATGATAGGGCGCAGGCGCCGCCACGTCATCGCAGGCGCTGGCGCAGGCACGTCGGCAGGCGCGCCACCCCATGCGGGGCGATCAAACTGTAAAAGCTCCAAGGAAGGGGGGGCGGGGGCTCGCGCGGGAACTTCAGCATCGCACCCGTGCCACTGCCCCGAACGAGGCGCCATTTGGGGCGATCAAACTATGCAGCTCGGGGGGAGGGGGGCGGGGGAGCGCGCGGGAATTTCGTCCTCGCACCCGCGCCGCTGCCCCAGACGGGGCGTCGCGCCCTCCTCGGGGCCGAGCGCAGGGCGCGCGGGCGCTCGAAGCTCGAGCGAGCTGCGCAGAGCCGCGGCGGCGGAGGCTCGCGCGCGCGCCTCCCCGCGCGCAGAAAGAAGCAGTTCCAAATCTGGCCCATGGCGCGTCTGTGAGAAGCGTAAAACATGGCGGCGCCGAGCTAAAACGCAACATTGCAATCTGCCCGTCGGGTGTCAAGAAGTGTAGATTTCGGCCAGTGGGGGCCGCTTCCCGTCTCAAGGACTGCGGATGCCATGCCAATGGGAACTCTAGCTGTCTGATCAGCTAACCAAACCTGTTCGCACATGTCTTTGACATGATGCTCGTTTTCTGTTTTCTCTACATCTTTGTTTGAAACAACTTGCCCATTGATGGTCTGCCACAACTCGAGAATGGAAAGCAAGGCCCGGGAAAGTGGCCCGCTCCTTCTCCTTCTCCGCCTCCTCCTCCTCCTCCTCCTCCTCGGCGTGGGCGGGCGGGCCCCGCAGGACGCCAATGGCAGAATCTTGTCTTTCCAAAGAAAGACGCAGCGAGGGAGAGAGAGAGAGAGAGAGAAAGACAAAAAAGAGTTATATAATAGAGAGAGAGATAGACAACACAAGGAAGAGAGAGAGAGAGAGAGAGAACGAGAGAGAGAGAGAGACCAAGAGAGAGAGAGAGAGATAGACAGACCAAGAGAGAAAGAGCGAGAGAGGCGAAGCGAAGGAGGAAACCGCCGTAGAGGTAGGGGGAAAGAGCGCCCACGCCCGCGGTCACCGGACCACGAGGGAAGACCGCGGCCATAGTGCACACCAGCCACCGTGCAGGCAAGGGCAAGAAGTTGCGGGGCTTATGGGTGGGACCCTGCGCAGTGATGCCAGGGTGAGGCCCCGAAGCAATGCAATAGGGTGGCAAGTCTACTCGGGGCTTCTTAATAAGCGTGGGTGGTACCCCCCCGACGGGGGTTAACCTCGCCTCGTCGTCGCGCCGCGACGGGGGTCGGAGCGCCTTTGGCGCGCTGGCTGCCCGCGACGGGGGTCGATGCGGGGCTGTCGAGGGGGGGTGACGCCCCCCCGACGCTTATTAAGAAACTCGGAGTAGGTAGTGCTCTTGGCGCTGGACGCCGTGGAACGGACAGCCCCTGCGTCGGAACCCTATTTGGGTTTGGATTCTATGACTGGCACACACTGGGGTGGGACTGCTTGGAGGAATACCCGATGGGTAGGCCCCTTTGGGCGGGGTGGGGCCATCTGGGGTTGGACCCTGCGAGGTGGGACCCTATGGGGTGGGGTCCTGTGCGGTACGACCCTGTTGGGTGGGACCCTATTGGGTGGGACCCTATGGGTGAAACACTACGGGATGGGACACCACTAGTCGAAAGCTACTGCGTGGGTCACTTTAGGGTGGGGCGATTTTGTGTTGGGTCCCTGCGGGGTGCGACCCATCGGAGCGGATGGGACCCAACGGGCGGGATCCTTGGGCAGAGCCCAACGCGTGGTACCCCCCGGTGCGATCCGATAGCGAGGAACCCTGTGGGTGTGACCCTTTGGGGTGCCACCTCGTGAGGTGGAGCCCCATAGGGCACAGAGTACCACCCTAAGGAAGAGACTCTTTGGATTTGCCCTTATGAGGCGGGATCCTATGGGGGCTAACATTCAGGAAGAGACTAGATGGGGTAAGACCCTACGGGGATGGGCCCCATGATGTGGGAACACGTGCGATTGGACGTGCTTAGCTGGATGCCCATTGGGTGAGGTCCTATGGGGTGGGCCCGTGTGTGGTGGGACCCTGTTTGGTGGACCCTGTGGACGGGACGTGGTGGGGCCACTGGGTGGGTTCCTGATTGCTGGGGTCCCTATGGGGTGGAATCTGGCCAGGCGAGCACGAAGCCTAGATGTTGTAATTGATGCACGGTGTATCTTTCGAAAGGCAAGCACAACTCATCGAAAGAGCCGCCTCCAACGTCGGCCCCGCCGTCCGCGTTGTCGCCTTCGCCACCGCCGGCGGAGTCGCCGTTTGCCGTCGACGATGACGACGGCGAGAACGAAGGTGGCAACGGCGACGAAGTCGGCTGTCGAAGACGGCGGCGGCGGCGACGAATGCGGTGACGACGCCGACGTCGGCGACGGCGGCGACGACGAGGTGACACTTGTCAAGGGTTTCGGTTGAGGGATCGCATAGCGAAGCTACCCTTCGAGAGCTGCGATCACTTCCCCTTGGGCCCGTAATGCCTGCATCTCCGCCCGTAGGAACATATAGTCGATCTGCAGATTCAGGACTTCGTGGATTATGCTTCTTTCGGGCCCAGGATATCAATCATGACCTGCCCCCGCGCAGCTGTGGATAAGACTGATGGGGACACCCGATGCGTGCCGCAGGCGCCGACTTTCCTTTGCCTTTGAAAAAATGTTGGCCATCGTTGACCCACACAGTAAGTAACCGTACTCCCGAAATTTCGAGCTAGGCGGTGCAAACTGTATGGTGCAAGCTGTGAGATGCAATTTCCGTGGTGCATTCTACGTGGTACATGCGGGGGTGGGTTGCGGGTGGGTCGCGGGATGATCGCAGACGGGTCGACGCGCTGGTGGGTCGCGGAGGGGTCGTGAGCGGGTCGCTGGCTTGTCGCAGGTTGGTTGTGGCTTTGGAATGGGATTCTGTCGTATGCGATTCAATGGGGCCGAGCCCACGGGGTGGCACCGTGTGGGGTCGGAGTCCATATAGGACCCTGCGGGGTGGGACCCTCTGGGTAGGATCCTCCGGGCGAGACTCTGGAAATTGAAAGCGCTGCATATGGATGAGATCCCATGGGTTGGACTCTATGTGGTTGGAGCCTACCGGGTACAATAGAACCCAAATGCAAGAGAACATATGGCGTGGAATCCTACGGGGGTGAGACCATACAGGGTGCGACCTTACCCGGTGGTACCCTGTGGGTTGGATACCTATGCGGTGGAACCCTATTTCTCAAAAACCTACGGTGTGGGCCCTAGCGGGCGGACAAGTATCTAGCTTTAGATTTGGCTTGCTGGTCGCCCTTGTCGTTGCCGACGGCAACGAAAGATCTCAGGGAAATCGAAAAACACAGTGCCAACTTCGATGCTGCCCTGTCTGAGTCAGACGGGGCCGAGTCTTCGGTTGAAGGTTTTACTATCGACTGACATGGACGTGGCACGATGCACGTCGTACGGCGACGTCGTCGTGGCAGCCGCGGTCGCAGCCGACGTCGCCGCTGTAGCCGTTATGACCTCGCCGTCACTGTCGCCGTCAGGGGGTTACTTCCCGGCAGGGCGTCGCTCTGCGTCCCCCCGGCGAGCACGCCGTCGTCGTCATGGCCGTCGCTGTCGCCGGCGTCACCGCCGAGATCGTCGCCGTCGTCGCCATCGATGGCGATGGCGACGATGCCCACGACGAGAACGAAGGCTACGACGCGGCCGGCGACGACGATGACAGCAGCGCCTCGTTTGATGTTCAACGTTGTTTCTTGCCGAATCCATGGGGCCCCAAGTCAAAGCTTGGTTTCGGAGCCTACCCAATGGAGTGGCGCCCTATGGGCAGGGGCCCTGGGTGGGACCATGTGGGGTGGGGCCCTTTAGGATTGGACCTTATGCGGTATCCCTGTGGGGTGGGACCCTGTGGGGCGGGACCATGTAGGCTTGGACCCTGTCCAGTGGGAAGCTGTGGGGTGGAGCCCTATGGAGTTGGACCCCATGCGTGGGACTTGTAGGACTCTATGGGTTGGGACCATCTGGTCGAGGCTCTGCTGGGTGTTGTGAGTGGGTGGGGCCCTGATGATGGAAGCCTATTGGCGGGCCCCTATGTGTCGGACCCTGTGGGACCAAGATGGCCTGCCACCTGAACAACCGCCCGCCCATGACACTTCTGCAGTAAGCCGCCTCAGAGCCGCTGATTGCAAGCGCTGTCTGGAAAACCACGGCAGCATCCGAACTGCAGAAGAAGCTATGGGTGGGACAATGTGGGCAGAACCCTGTACAACTTCCAAGATACCAAACATATAATCGGGCAACTAAGCGCGGGACCCTATGGGACATACCCTATGCAAGATCAGGCATACCAGCATGCAAGAGTAATTGAGGGCGGGACCCCAGGGCGGGTCCCCACCCAGCCGCCAGAACAGCGAAAACGAGCACTGCGGAATAACTCTCAAGAACACATGCACGACCCTCCATAGCGCGATCCAAAAACTCGACGATCCAGAGGCCCCGGCAGAGACCTCCGAAGCCCCCAAGGAGGTCTGCAGGGGCCTCGCGGAGGCCTCCGCGCGCAAGTCGAACGGCCTCCGGAAGGCCAACAACAGGTAGCCAGAGCGCCCCAGACCCTGGTGCGCTCTTGCGGGGGAGAGGGGGCCACTGGCGGCTGCGACCCGCAGTGTTTGGCTGCCGCTGGGCAGCTCGCTCCCTCGCCGCGGGGCCCGCCGTGACGCGGCGGCCCCCGCCGAATTAGGCCGCTGCCGCCGCCGCGGCGCCGAGAGACGGTGCGCCCGCGTCCGCAAAGACCGCGCGCGCACGCGCGCCGTGGTCGGCGCGCGCGGCACCGACGCGCGCGCCCCGAGCGCCGTCGGCGCCCTCGCGGCTGAAGACGGTGAAGTAGTACCTACGCCACGAAGAGATCTACACGGACACCCTCCGACGAATGCTGCACGTGCCCTCAGGGAGGGCGGCGGTGCAGAAAGTCGCCGGCTTGCAGTGGTGACTTACACACCGCCATCCTCCCCCGAGGACCAGGAACGATCTCTTGGAGGGTGTCTGTGTACCCTGGGTTTCTTCATAAGCGTGGGGGGGTGCCCCCCCGACGGGGGTCAACCTCGCCTCGTCGTCGCGCCGCGGCGGGGGTCGGAGCGTCTTCGGTGCGCGGCGGCTGCCCGCGACGGGGGTCGATGTGAGGCTGTCGGCGGGGGTGGCGCCCCCCCGACGCCTATCAAGAAACTCGGAGTATATCTCTTCGTGGCGGAGTGCCGCATGAACAGCTCGCCCAGGATCACGAAGTTCGGAGGAGGACCAGTCGCCAGACAGCGGCGGCCCTCCCGGGCACGTCTCGTCATCTTCTCGGCGAGGGCTCGGGCCCGGGCTCCCGGCAAAGGCTTGTGGGCCCAAGGCTCGCTGGATCCGTGGGGCCTGTTGGCCCCAGGCCTCCTCCTCCTCCTCCTCCTCCGCCTCCTCCTCCTCCTCCTCCTCCTCCTCCTCCTCCTCCCGGCGAGGAGGAGCTCCGCCCGAGGCATCCTCATGACACAACATGGGGATGCTGCGAGCGACGTTGGATCTCCAAAATGTGGTTTTCGCCCGCGGCGCCCTCGGAAAACAAAAGAAGCTGAGATCAGGCGTCGGCTCTCCAGCATGGTGTCGGCAGGGACGCTTCGCCCGAGACGCTCTCACGGCATGGGGGTATCGGAGGAATTGTTGAAGCGACGCTGGTTCTCACAACGTGGCGGCTTTCGCCTGAGACATCCTCCGACACATGAGATGTTGAGATCAGGCGTCGGATATCCAACATGGTGTATGGGGGCGTCTCGATTGAGGCAGCCTCACAACATGGGGGATGTTAGAGAAGTTGTTGGAGCGACTTCGGTTCAAAAAAGTACGCTTTCGCCTGGGACATCCTCATACACATGGCATGGCATTTTGGAGATCGTGCGTCGTATATCCAACATGGTGTGGGGGGGCGTCTCGATTGAGACATCCTCACAAAATGGGTATGTTCGAGGAGTTGTTGAAGCGACGTTGGTTCTCAAACGTGAAGCTTTCGCCTGAGACATCCTCTGAATAGAATAGATGTTGGAGATCGGGCGTCGAACATCTAACATGGTGTACAGGGGCGTCTCGTCTGAGAGATGCTCACACCATTCGGATGCTGGAAGATTTGTTGGAGCGACGTGTGTTCTCAAACATGAAGCCTTCGCCTAAGACATCCTCAAGAAAACATGTCGGAGCTCGTGCGTCGGATATCCAACATAGTGTTGGGAGGGGCGTCTCGACTGCCAGCGAACGACGCAGACGTGAACGCCTCTTCCCACGACGCAAACTCCCTCCAACTCCGAATCCCAAATCCAGAGGCCCCGGGAAAAGGTGGTCACACGTGTCCTCAAACGCCCCTTCCAACGGCGCAAAAACGCCTCGCACTTCCGAATCCCAAGCTCGGAGGCCCAAGGAAGAGGTGGTCACACGTGCCCTCAAACGCCCCTCCCCACACCTCCCCCACGACGCGAGCGCCCCCCCACCCCCGACTCCCGAAGTCGGAGGCCCAAGGAAAAGGTAACACCTCCCCCACGACGCAAGCGCGCCCCCACCCCCGAACCCCGAAGTCGGAGGCCCAAGGGAGAGGCCGTCGCACGCGTCGCCTCCGGCAGGCGGGGCTGCGCGGGGCAGCGCGTGCGACGCACGGCACGGCGCGCGGCAGGGCACGCACGGCACGCACCAGGCGGCACAGCAGACGGCACGCGGCATCGTGCGAAGCCCGAGGAAGAGGCAGTCACAGGCTCCTGCCAGACGATCTGGAACATGCATCTGGCATTGACTCTAGCGCGAGAGATTCGTTTTCCGCATGGATCTGGCACGACTGTCCCAGTAAGAGCTCGGACCCAAGGCTCCCAGGCCAAGGCTCCTTGCATGTGAGCGGGCCTTCGGCCCTTGACCAAAGAGGTCGGACATCAAATCCTTTGACTCAAATTCCTCACCGGGTTTGTGGGTCCCTCGAGTTTGGGCCTCCCTGAGGCTTCTCGTCGCCACGGCTGGATCCGCCTCGAGGAAAGCGTCAGGATGGACCCCGGGAGGGGTCTGGGGACCGACTGTGAGCGGATCTGGCCCGGGCGGGAGGGCCACCGTTGTCTCAACTGGCCCTCCTCCGAGAAATCCTTCCCCTCGGCCTCGTCGCGCCCGACGGACACGAAGCCGGGGTAGCACGTCCCCCCGGCCGAGGCGTCCTTTACCATGTACTCCTCGGGCGGTATTGCGAAGTCCTGCAGCTCACCGGCCAGGTCTCTTAGGGTGAACACGACTGGAGGCAGCCCCGCGAGCCGCTCGCACGGCCTTGCGTCCGCTTGGGCCATGACGGCGTCGAAGGCCTCGGGGCCCACCGAGTAGAAGGTGGTGCCGCTGTCGACTATCAGGAGGGGGTCGAATTCTGAGATCACCAGGCCGTCGTGTCGGCGAGCAGCCCAATCAGATCTGGTCGTTTTGGGTGCCACGAACGTGCGGTTACCGACCTGCAAGGACACCAAATCTAATGCCCAATAGCTCTCCTCGACCACCGGGAACCAGTCCGCCACCGTGCCAGCGGCACGCTTGGGGGTGTCAGAGTGGCGGCATGTTTGGGCGTCTCAGAGTGATTGTGTGAGTGTGTGCGTTGTCTGGCACGGCTTCTGCACCTTTCTGGGGCTGGCTCCTACCCTATCTGTAGGCATGCTCGAGAGCCCCCAGAGGCCGAAAATGGTGAAAAGCCTCCCGTCGTGATTTTTTCATTGCTCGAGGGGGTCTGAGTTGGGGTCGCCCAATCGCCGCGAAGATGCGATGCCGCTCGCCTTCGCGGGCCCAGCCAGCGCCCTCGCGCCACCTCAGACGAATGCCCAGGTCGGGCATGTCCCCCTACAGGCGAAAAAGATCCCCCAAATGGTCAAAAATGGTCAAAAAATCGTCCCCAGACTATTGTTCAACTGTTTTTGAATATTCCTCCTGTAGAGGGACAGTCCTGGCTTCAACGAAAGAGCGGGAGGGGGGGGGGGATAGCGGGCAGCTCGTGGCTGCGAGTGTTCATGCTGCAGGCCTGTTCGTTGTTCTCGCGGCCCGCGGTCGCGAGCCAGGCCGCTCTGCCCGCGGCCAGAGGCCTCCCTCCTCCTCCTCCTCTCCTCCTCCTCCTCCTCCTCCTCCTCCTCCTCCTCCTCCTCCTCCTCCCTCCTCCGCCCTCCTCCTCCCTCCTCCTCCTCCTCCTCCTCCTCCCTCCTCCGCCTCCTCCGCCTCCTCCTCTTCCTCCGCGATACACCTCCGAGAGCCACGGGGCCACGACTGCCGATCTACCTGTGCCCGGCGTCTCTCCTGCGGCGACCAAGCTGCGGAAATGGTGGGGATGCTGACTCGCGGGCGCGCGCCACGTGGTTTCGCGTTCATGCGCCACAATGAGCCACAGTGAGCAAGAGCCACCGCATGATGCGAGGCAACATGCCCAACTTCAGATTTGCATATGTGAGCTCGAGTGCACAGTGGACTGTTCGCCTTCCACGAGGCAACGGTGAATCCCTCGCAGGCGATCCCGGCACCCAGGGCGGGGGCGATTCCCCGGGGCAAACTGCGAGGGCTACGAACGCGACCAGGTCGAGGTATCCACCTCGGTGGCAGTCGACGTAGCCTTGCGGAAGCGCTCGATGATTGACTGGCGGTCGGCCCCCTCGATTTTGCGCTGGGCCCCATTGTGCCAGGAGATCTCGAGCGGCTCGTGGACACCCCCGGGGACCACCTCGATGATCGGAGCGGCGGTGCAGCTGATGATGCCCTTGGGGCGGACGGCGATCCCGTCGCGGTCCGAAGCGAAGGACTGGGCGAGGAACGACAGGATGCGCCGGGCGCGCATCTCGCGGCGGATCTGGCGAGGAGATTTGTGAAGGGGCCCTGGGACACACAAATAAATAAACACAAACAACAGGATTCCCCATATCTTCCATATTTTTTGGATTTTCGTCTCCCCACCCACTTCCCATATTTTCGCATATTTTCACGAAAATCGGCGATTCATTGTGTCTGTGTGTTTTTTCCCTCCTAATTTGCCCGCGCAAAAGGGAAGGGTGGCTCTGCGGCCGTCGGGGCTCGCCGCGGTGCAGGACCTCCCTGCGCCACTGGGCAGACAAGGGGCGCGAACGGGAGCGGTGGCTAGGGAACCTCCAGCTGCCGCGTCGCCAGTGGCGCGGCTGAAGGAGGACCTGCTCGGATCCTCGCCACCCACCAGCTCGATGTGCTCAGCTGTGACACGAGAGGCGGTGATCCACTCCGCCACGGCAACGCGCGCAGCATCTCCGGCGACCATGTCCTGGCAGTTCGCGGAGAAGACGAGAGGATCGGCCTCCATGTCTTTCCCCGCGAGTTTGGCCAAATCCGTCGCTGGAAGTTGCCGTTCTGTCATTGCGAGGGATGATCTGATGCCACCACGTCGGGAGCACATCCACGCACTGTCTTGCTCCATACCACTCTGTCTGGTTCTGAACTGGTGAATCTCGTTCGAGTGGTGGTCAATCTGCTTAACGATGGGGACATGGGGACCACGTGCTGCGACCTGTCCGCGACCATAAACGTCTGAGCAGCCGCCGCAGACGTCCTGCAGAGCTGATCCATGTCCGCCGCCGTGGAGGCCATGTGGGCGTGGACGAGGCCCATGAGTTGCTGCTGGAACTTCGCCGCTGCATCTGTGGGGCTGGACGCAGAGGCAGCGGGCGAGTCAGCGGGGGCACCTGTGGGAAAATTCGCACCACCGACCTGGCTGGGGAACGCGGGAACCGCATCCGTGAGGGCGACGTCCTGCGAGGCGAGGGGGCCTCTACAAGCGCCGGCCCAGGAACCGCGAAGCTGAAGCGCAACGATGGCTCCGCCATCAGCTGGGAGTGGACCCCGCCAAGGCCAACGGCTCGACCAGCCAATTTTGAGGGGCGGCGGCCAGGCCCTCACCAGCGGGTCGAGCGCTGTCGCGGCGGCGCTCACGAGGCTCAGGCGGCTGGGCTTCACGTTGTGGACGACGGCGAGCAGCAGGTGCAGCAGAGGCGGGGACACTGGGGCAGCGCGGTCAGGAGCGTCGTCTCGGCTTCGTTGGGCGGGGCGGTGATGACGGCGACGCCCTTCCCCCCCACTGCGGCTGTGGCTGTGATCAGGAGTCCGATCTTCAAGAGATGACGAGTCATCGGAGGCCATGGGCCATGCGGGAATAGAACATCGTGCGGAGGAATACGATGTCGCCGTGGCAGGCGAACAGCGGGGCGAGACCACCTGCGCAATGACACTAGACTGGGCAGTAACGGGAAACTTCAGCGTTTACCCGCCCAGCGAAATGGATCAGATATGGGGTGAACCTATGGCCGAAGGGCGGCTCGCCATAGGGATCGTGCGGATGGAACGAGCTTCGGGTTAGGCCTCGGGTCAAAGGCGTCCAGTTCTGCCCGAGGGACAACGCCATCTTGAGCCAAAGTGGCGACGGAGGGGACGGGAGAGGGAGGAGGAGGAGGAGGAGGAGGAGGAGGAGGAGGAGGAGGAGGAAGAGGAGGAGGAGGAGGAGGAGGAGGAGGAGGAGGACGAGGAGGAGGAGGAGGAGGACGAGGAGGAGGAGAAGAAGGAGGAGGAGGAGGAGGAGGAGAAGCGGCGGAGGAGGAGGAGGAGGAGGAGGAGGAGGAGGAGGAGAAGAAGGAGGAGGAGGAGGAGGAGGTGTTCAAGACCCGCGCGAGTGCAGACACCGTAATTACTGACCTGGAGTCTAGAGCTCAACCTCATGCCTGCTGCGCTGCTGTGTTGGCGTGGCGGAGGGGCTTGCCGCAGGCAACTGGATTGAGCGATCCTTCGTACAGACGGCTGTCTGTGCTGCCCCACAGCACCGCACCTCCCCGGTCCGGCCGCCGGTGAAGGTAGAAGGCGAACTCTGGGGCCGCGAGCTTGCCCTGCGCCACGAGGTTGTCGAACAGCGGCGTCGCGGTGGCATTGCTCAGGGAGGGGAACCCGAGGCCCACAATGCCGTCGAAACTCATCTCGAACGCCGAGCCTACCTCCTCGGATACGAGGCCGATCTTCTGCCCCTTCACCGTCAGGGGTCCGATGCGCACGTCATCCTCCCCGAGCAGCCCACGCAGAGTGCCGCTGCCGTAGGTGGAGCTGACCTGTATCAGCGACGTGCTGGCCTGGAAAGTCGTCGACTTCGTGTGGTTGAACCGGCGGTGGTCGCCGAGCGTGCACGGGAAGCGCTCGCAGAGGTCCGAGGCAACCCAGAAGTCGGCGCTGCCGGTGTCGTAGATCACCCGGAGGTCGGCCTGAGGAGCGGGCTTGCCGTCGGCACCCACCGTGGTGCCCACGGATATGGGGCCCGCGTACTCGGTGCCGTACAGATCCTTCAGCTCTGTCTGATGGGCCGGATTTCCACCACCACCACCACCATAAGTTGGAGGGGGGAAGGAGGTGGAGGACGAGGAGGAGGAGGACAAAGAGGAGGAGGAGGAGGAGGAGGAGGAGGAGGAGGAGGAGGAGGAGCAGGAGGAGGACCCCCTCCCCCCCGACTCATGGTGGTGGTGGTGATGATGGAAAGCAGGCCCATCGCTGTCACCGTGCAAGGCACCGCGGCGCTGCTGCGCTGCGACGAGCGGAACGAATGCCCGCGGCCCCGGCGGACGCGCAGCAGCGACGCCACCTGCCGGCTGGACACGGGTACTCCCGGCGGGAGCTCCGCCTCCGGTGGGGCCGCCGCCTGCGGCGGGGCGCGCACTGGGGGGGGGGAGCATGGCGCGAGGGAAGCGGCCTTCTGAGGTGGCGGGGGCCTTCTCAGAGGGCAAGGGCCTTTTGACCCAGACCCCCTCGAGCAATGAAAAAATCACGACGGGAGGTTTTTCGTCATTTTCGGCCTCTGCGGGCCCTTACGGGGCCTCGGGGCCGTCAAACAACGACTTGGGATGAAAAACCGATCTCGGGGAACAGGTTCAGACCTCGGGGGTCGGCGTAAGGAAAAAATCACGTTGGAGGCCTTCTGAGGTGGCGGGGGGCTTCTCAGAGGGCAAAGGCCTCCTCTGGAGGGTCCTCCCGGCTTCCGAGGGGACCCCTCAAGACGGGGAAGGCTTCCAAGAAGGCCTCCGTCTTCTAGTGAGACCCCCGCTTTCGCAGGAGGTCGCCCCTCTGGCGCTACCCCCCTCCCAAACATCCGATGTGTGCTTTCAATTCGCGGCCCCAGAAGTCCCGACCCACGGGGTAGTTCGACGTCCCAGATTTCTCATTCATGGTCCCATGGGGTCCTGCATGGGGCCCGACATCGGCCCGCGAGGGCCGATACCTAAGAAACAACGCCGGCTGACAAAATCATGCCGTCGGAGATCTGGGCTTGTGCGCGCCAGCAGTGCCTCCGCCGCCCCGCCGTGCAGGAGCGGCGTGACGCTGGCGCCCGACGACAGCTGGAAGGTGTGGTGCAGGCTCGCGTGCCGCGCGCGCCCCGCCAGCCGGGACGCGAGCGCGGGGGGGGCGCAGGACGCCGACAGCGCCCAGGCGACGGCCCAGCGGCCCGCGGCCCGGACGCAGGGCGCGCGCATCGGGCCGGCGCGGGCGGTGGCCGGCGGAGGCAGAAGGGGGGGGGGATACCCCAGGGGGCGGGCGTGACACGTGCGCGCGGGCGCACAAGACCGCGACGTCGGCGCTGCTCGGAGGGGCGGGAGCAGGGAGCACGAGGGTCTGGGCCCCTCCAGGGCCCCAGATCTGGCGCAGATCGGCGCCTTCCCTCAAAACGTCGGCCGCGGTCCCCCCATGTGATCCCAAATGGCAGGACGCTCGGCCAGCGCCCACGTAAATAATCAATCCGTCGGATGTCCTCATCGAAGGCATGGGGCATGGGGGGTCGGAGCCTCTGGACAAACGTGGTTTGCTCGGGAAAGCCTGGATCCCCCCAAACTGTCACCTCTTAGGGACGCGCCTTTTGCTTCCGCCGCCTTCCGCCGGCTTCCACCGCCCGCGTTTTACCTCCGCCGCCTTCCGCCGAAGAAGCGATGACAATTCCGTCGATCTTCAAAGGCGAGGCCCTTTCTGGAACGTCCCATGCTGGGAGTTCCGTAAACCCTGACCCCAAATCGTGGTCATCTCTTGGGAGGTCGACTTTCGCTTCTGGCGACACCCTCAGAGGCGAGGCCCCTTCTGGAACGCCCCGTGCAGCGCCCCCCCTGGGCCACGCCCGCCCCTCTGGCAGCCGCCCGAGGGCGGGAGGAGCGCGGCGACGCCGCGGGAAAGGTGTCCCGCCAGGGAGGCCAGAGGAGCGGTCGGCCCAGGGGGCCGCGGCCCGAGGCGCCTGGGCCGACGCGGTGGCGGATGCATCTTGCGCTGCCAAGCCTCCGGCGGCCTGACTTTTGTCAGCCAGCGTTTTTTTTGTGCCCCCCCCGGGGCTGGCCGCTCAGGGGCCCCAGAGGGCAAACAGAAGGTGATCGGGTCACGTGCAGCTGCCCCTGGAGCGGGGGTCGGGACTCCTGGGCCCGCGCGTTGGGCAAATCACCTCGTCGGATGTCCGGTGTTGTTTTGCCCAAACGCCCTGTGGAGTTGGGTGCTCGTTTTCTCCCCCTGCTCCCCCTTCCCTCCTCGACCGGCGTCTGCTCTCCACGCGTCCATCTCGGCATCCTTCGAGGCCTCCCCCTCCTACGCGTGCCCATTTCGGCGCACACCCCTCCACCCATAGCGAGCCCAGCGGCCAGAACGGGTGACAGCAGAGCGCGAAGGTACCGGAAGAGGAGGAGAGGAGGAGGAGGAGGAGGAGGAGGAGGAGGAGGAGGAGGAGGAGGAGGACAGGGACGAAGACCAAGAAGGCAAAGCAGCGCGCCCCGGCAAGCGCGTGGGATCAGCAGCAGCCCAAGGCGGCCGCCGCGCAGCTATAGAATCAACTGGTCTGGCGCGCCCGGGCGCTCCAGCAGGCGCCGTCGAGCACAGCCGCCCGCCACGCCGCCTCGCGGCCCGCAGCGCGCGGGGCATCCAGAAGCAGCAGGCCGGCCGCCCGCGCGGGCCACCCGAGCGCCCGCACGCACCCCGCGCGCAGGGGCCCCCCGCAGCCGCACGCCACGCAGGCCACCCGAGCGGGCCCCTGGGGAGGCGACATGCCCCCGCCGGGCGCTGCTGGCGAAGAGCGCCCTCGCCGCGGCGGCCGCCCCCAGAGCCCGCCGCCCGCGCTGGCCCCTGCTCCGCCTGCCCAGACCCCCGACGCAATGATTTCTTCGCATCGTCGACCTATTCCCCGGGACCGGCTTTTCATCCCGCGTCGTTTGTTGACGGGCCCGAGGCCCGGTGAGGGCCCAGGGAGGCCGAAGATGGCGAAAACACCCCCGCCGTGATGTTGTTCATTGCTCGAGGGGGTCTGGGTGCGGGGCCGCCGCGGCCGCTGCCGCGGCGCCGTCCGCCACGAGGGGCGCGCGGTGACGGCGACGTCGTCGCGCCTGCGTCCAGCGCCGCCGCGCGCGCGGGGGCCCACAGGGCCGCGTGCGCGCGGTGGGCCGTTGAGCGCCGCGACCTCCGCCACGGAGACCACGCGCTGCGCGGCCGTGGGCGCGACCAGCTGCCGCTCGCGCTCCCGGCGCAGCGCTGGCGGAGGCAGGGACACTCAGTGCCCCGAGGGGGAGCTGCACCGAGGGAGCTCCACTCACGGCTCCAGTGAGGGCGCCAGCAGCTACGGCACCGCCGCCCCGAGTTCGGCGAACCCCTCACACGTCTCGTAGCCGCAGGGGGAGCGGTGAGGGCGCCCGTATGGCGGGCGGCGCCGCGCCAACGGCCCAGGTGAGGGCGCCCGCATCGGTAAGCCGCTCACCCGGATCCCGCATCGTGCCCCACAGGGAGCTCCACCCACGGAACCAGTGAGGGCGCCCGCATGGCGGCAAGGCGCACCACTCACGCGTTTCGTGCCCCATCAGGGGCTCCCCGCGGCCTGTGGGTGCGTTCGGATGCGCCCCCCCCCCCCCCCTGCACCAATTCCGGTACATCCCTCACACGGATTGTGCCCCACGGAGCTCCACCTACGGCCCGAGTGGGAAAGTCTGCATGCGCTCCCCCGCCCATTTCGGCGCACCCCTCACACTTTTCGCGCCCAACAGTGAGTTCCACCTACGGCGTCAGTGGGAAGGTCCTGATGCGCCTCCCCGCCCGACGGTACACCCCTCGCACGGTTCGCAGCCCACAGGGAGCTCCACTTCCGGCCCAAGTGGAGGGTTCGCGCACGGTGCCCCGCCCATTTCGGCGCACCCCTCACGCGTTTCGTGCAAACAGCCTCAATGGGAAGGTTCGGATGCGTCCCCCCGCCCGTGTCGGTACACCCCTCACGGAGCTCCACCCACAGCTTTAGCTAGGGCGTTCCCATGCGTCCCCTCGCCCAGCTCGGCAAATTCCTCACTCGGACCTTACATAGAGACGCCCATCACCAATGTGACACGAAGCTGCAAAGGGTTGGGTCCCTCGCCAGGCTAATTGCTGGTTGTTGTCCTACAGCTCGAGAGCGCAGTGTTCTTTTGCTTGTGGCTGCACGCCCTTCCGAAGTGCGAGCGCACCCCCAAATCGAACCAGCCGAGGCAACCCCCCCCACACACAGAAATCCGCCGATCCGGCGTGTGAGTTTCAAGGAGTCTCAGCTACAGCCTCGAGGCTGAGCCTCAGCCTCTGGGGGGGTTGCCGGGGTGGCTCTGCCGGGGAAGGGGGGGTGGGGGGGGGGTGCGAGTTTCCGGCGGATGCGTTTTTTGACACCCCTCACAAGGATCGTGGCCTCCGAGGGGGTTCCGAACTCGAGTACCACCCCTCCCGCACCAAGAGGCTCCGAGGAGGCCTCCAAGAGGCCCCAAGGGGCGCAGAAGAGGCCCCCAAGAAGCCCCAAGAGGCTCCCAAGAGACCCCCAAGAGGCCCTCTAGTGGCCCCAAGAGGCCCAAGAGGCCCCCAAGAAGCCCCAAGAGGCGCCCAAGAGGCCCCCAGAAGTCCCAGCCAACCACGAGATCCCAACCAGCATCCATGAGGCCTCTGACCCACCACCCACGCACGGTGGCGGGATAGGCCGACGGCCACTGGATCCGCCGCCCCCTGCTTGCAGGGGTGCACGGCGTGCTGGATGTTTCAGGTTTTGGTTTTGGTTCTTTTTCCAAAAGAACTCCCCAGTGGGCTCCGGCCCGTCCCGCCGGGGTCCCGGGAGGAAGCCGAAAGGACCTCAATCCGGAAAAAAATCCTCCAAAAAACGGCCGTTTCGCTCGGGACATCCTCAAAAAATCGCGAAGATGGCCCAAGATGGCCTCCAAGTCCGCCCGAGATGGTCCAAGACGGCCTCCAAAACGGCCCAAGAGAGTCCAAGACGGCCCAAGACGGCCCAAGAGGCCCCCCAGAGGCCTCCCAGACGGCCCAAGAGGCCTCCAAGAGGTCCTCCAGGAGAGTCCGAAGAGGCCAAAATCATTGATTTTTCATTGGTTTTTGAAGGATTCTGGCATTTGCGCCTTTTCGGCTCTCCGACGGCTCGAGACGGCCCAAGAAGCCCCCAAGATCGCCCAAGAGGCCCCCAAGAGAGCCCCATGATGGCCCAAGTGGCCTCCAAGATGGCCCCTAGAGGGCCCCAAGAGGGCCCAAGAGGCCTCCAACACGCCCAAGATGGCCTCCCAGACGCCCAAGATGGCCTCCAAGACGGCCCTGGAGCATTCCAAGCGGGCCCCAAGTCGGCCCATAGAGGCCCCCCAAACGGCTTCCGACGGCTTCAGACGTGCCAGGAACCCACCAAGATGGCCGAAGTTGGCTCGAAGCTGGCCCGAGACGGCCCAAAAAGCCCCAAAGATCGCCCAAAGCTTGCCCAAGAGGCCTCCAAGACGGCCAAGATGACCTTCAAGATGCCCACGTGTTCCCCGAAGGCTTTCCAAACCGATTCGGGGAACACGTGGTCCGATAGCTTGGCAGGTCTGGCCTCAACGTTCGGCCACATAGGCGCTTCCAAAAAGGCAGGGGGCGGCGGTGATTCGCCGTAGGCGTCTTCGATCCGCCGCCCCCTGTGGTCTTGCCACAGGGGTGCACGGCGTGCTGGATGTTTCAGGTTTTGGTTTTGGTTCTTTTTCTAAAAGAACTCCCCAGTGGGCTTCGGCCCGTCCCGCCGGCCACCCGCAAGTTTCCGAAAATCCATCTGTCAATGCCTTTGTTGCCCCAACTTGGCCCAAGATGGCCTCCAAGACGGCCAAGATGGCCCAAGATGGCCTCCAAGATGCTTCCAAGACGGCCAAGATGGCCTCCAAGACGGGTAAGATGGCTCCAAGATGCACCCAAGACGGCCCAAGATGGCCTCAAGATGGTCTAAGACGGCCCAAAAGGCCCGCAAAAGGCCTCCAAGACGGCCCAAGAGCCCTCCAAGACGCCCTCCAGGAAGGCCCGAATAGGTTAAAATCATTGATTTTCCTTAGGTTTTTCAAGGATTTTGGCATGTTCTTCTTTTCAGCTCTCCGACGGCCCAAGACGGCCCAAGAGGTCCCCAACATCGCCCCAACAGCACCCAAGAGGCCTCCAAGATGGCCCCATGACGGCCCAAGAGGCCCCCAAGAAGGCCCCAAGAGGGCCTCAAGACGGCCCAAGAGGCCTCCAAGACGCCCAAGATGGCCTCCAAGACGGCCAAGATGGCCCAAGATGGCCTCCAAGATGCCTCCAAGACGGCCAAGATGGCCTCCAAGTCCGCCCAAGATGGTCCAAGACGGCCTCCAAGACGGCCCAAGAGAGTCGAAGATGGTCCACGACGGCCCAAGAGGCCCCCCAGAGGCCTCCCAGACGGCCCAAGAGGCCTCCAAGAGGTTCTCCAGGAGGGCCCGAAGAGGCCAAAATCACTGATTTTCCTTAGGTTTTTGAAGGATTTGGAAATTTGCGTCTTCTCGGCATTCCGACGGCTCAAGACGGCCCAAGAGGCCCCCAAGATCGCCCAAGAGGCCCCCAAGAGGGCCCCATGATGGCCCAAGTGGCCTCCAAGTTGGCCCCGAAAGGGCCCCAAGACGGCCCAAGAGGCCTCCAACACGCCCAAGATGGCCTCCAAGACGCCCAAGATGACCTCCAAGACGGCCCCGAAGCGCCCCGAGAGGGTCCCCCGTTGACCCAGAAAAGCCCCCAAGACGGCTCCCGACGGCGTCAGACGTGCCAGGAACCCACCTGTATGGCCGAAGTTGGCTCGAAGCTGGCCCAAGACGGCCCAATGGGCCCCCAAGAGGGCCTCCACGAAGGAGGAAGATGACCTTCAAGATGCCCACGTGTTCCCCCAAGGCTTTCCAAACCGATTCGGGGAACACATGGTCCGATGGCTTGGCAGGTCTGGCCTCAACGTTCGGCCACATAGGCGCTTCCAAAAAGGCAGGGGGCGGCGGTGATTCGCCGTAGGCGTCTTCGATAAATGCTGAGTGAGAGGAGGGGAGGGAAAAAGAGAGGAGGGACGAGGCCGAAGAAGGATCACATCAGTCGGAGCGCCCCGGATCGGCGGCACTGGCCGAAGGCCACTACAATATGCCACGGCCGTCGTTGCGCCCTGTGCCAACCAAGTCGGCAGTGCGGGCAGCTCTGCCCCTGACCCCGAAGACGGGCATTGCGAGGGCCTGCCTCGCAAGACCGCTGCAGAAGCTGCGGAGCGAGGACGGCTGGAAGTAGCCCCCCCCCTTGCGCTGGAGCCATTGCTTCCTACCCGAGGTGCTCCCTGCAGGGCGACGGTGTGTGCTGACAGCGGAAGAGAGATCTGAGATATGGATGGCCTTTCTCTCCGCATGTGCTCCCGCGCTGGGCACTCATTCTGCGCCACGAAAGCAGCACAACAAAACTTGCTACGGAGCAAACTGGAGCGAAGGGCGCCACCTGCGGCGACCACTGGAAAACAATGGCTCGCGTGGCAACTCCTGGAAAGACTCTGTGCGCATGGAGAGGAACCACTCAGCCGGCTGGAGGCGCCATCAAACCAGAGCGAGGAACCAGATGCTGGGCCGGCGCAAGGATGCACTGCGCTGAGCTGTAAGAGCCCAGAGAGCTTGAGCCGGACTGTGCCAGATTACTAGACTGGGCTGGAGAAGGCCAGATTGACGCCAAGGTCAACCAGGACCGAGGACGACGAAGACATGGAGCAGGAGGAGGAGGAGGAGGAGGACGACGAGGACGAACTGGAGGATCGTCAGCAGCATCAGCAGCCGCGGCGGCGGGCCGCCGCCGGCAGCGGCAGAGGCGTAGGCGGCAGCCAGCGAAGCAGCAGCGGCGGGCCCGGGCGCCGAGAGGATCTCCGTCGGGCGATGGGTCAGGCGTCCCGAGCAGGGCGAGCAGGAGCTGCAACATAGAACACCGCCCCGGCGAGCAGGGACGAGCTTCGGGTCGATGGCCTTGCGGAGGAGCTCGACCCCATCGCCATCGACCCGAAGCTCGACCCTCCGTCGGCGAGCTGGGTCGGGCGCGGGCCTGGGCGAGCAGGGCGAGCAGGAGCTGCAACCTAAAAAACACCGCCTGGCCGAAAACAAGATCCCTAAAACTGCACCGGCTGGCTGCCCCTAGAGGGCTGCACGCTCTGCTCTGGCGCAGCCCGCTTCTGGGGGCGCCGGAAACGCACGCTCGGGCCCGAGGTGGAGAGGAGAACCCAAAGGCCGGTTTCCTGGTTTCCTGTTCAAGATTTGGCTGTTGCTTATCGGTTTCACTACGTCGTAGACCGGAAAGCTGCACAGATGAGGGCGCCCCGTTCTCACATGGTGCTTTCGCTCGTGAATTCCCTGGCGCCCATGACCAGAAGTGAAGATTTTTGCAAAAGTTGGACAAATTCTCTGGCCATTTTTCAACAAAGGGATCTCGCTAGACTTGGGTCGGGCGTGTCCCCCTACAAGCGGATTTTGAACGAAAAACAAAAAATAAGCAGAAAAATGCAGCAAAGATGCTCAAACACACTCACAACATCGTCCCAGAGGATGTTTTGACTATTTTTGAATATTCCTCCTGCAGAGGGACACGCCCGATTCAACCCAAGGCCGCCGAATCCCCGGAGGCCTCGAAGACACGAGGCCGACCTTCGCTGGGCATATTCGTCGGGGACACGCACGCCCGGGCCACCACCTGGCTTCGCGCACCGCGCTGTGCGATCCACGACTCTCTGGGCGCTCTCGCGCCTCGCCCTGGAGAAGAACTGCTCCCTCGCCCCGACCGCGAGGCGCGATCCTTCTCGCGCCCACTGCGAACGGCCTGGAGCACCGGTGAAGGGAAGTCCCCCAGGGAGACGCCCGAGCCCTCCCGGAGCCCACCGCCGCCCCTTGCAGCCCCCACAAACCTGCATGGACCGGACGGCCGTGGGAGCATACCGGCAGTGCTCGCGATCACCTTCGCGCTGCGGGTGAGGTGCGTCGTGGTCTTGTCACCAGCGCTTCCACCGTACGGGAGAATCGTTTATCCGACCCCCATCCCCAGCGGCGTGGCCTGGTCCCCACTGGCCGATTCCCCCCCCTAGATGGGGATGTAGGCCGTTCCCTTCGGGCTTGGAGGGGTGTATCCCCAACTGGGGGGGCAATTTGGCGGGGGTCTCGAAGGGGATGAGGATAGGGATGGGGGTCGGATAAAGGATGCTGAGTAGCAGGTGCTCATGTCTCGACAGGTGGGAGAAGCAGGCACACTAATCAGAAGCCGGGGTCCACGCCTGGACTGGACCAGCGCAGAACATGGCCCGCCCCTGCCTAAAAGAACAACCTTTGGACCTGGCCAACCATTCCCAGGCCAAGGGTCTAGTTTCGGTTGTCTGGCTAACCACGCTGTTGATCGCAATATCTGGACACGCGATCTCGTCGCAGCGTCTGGAACCCAACAAGGACCAAAACGGTCCCAATCCGATCGCGTGAACGGCGCACAAGCGGCATGACCAAACACAGCCAATCACGGAGTTGACGACCGCACGATTGGCAGACAATGAGCTAATTAGTTGTATTAGGCCGCGGCTGCTACAGCGATCACGTGGTCGTGGACCGCAGACAGGGCCTGCTGGGAGACAGGACCGCGGCACCCTCCCCTCCTGCATCTCCACCCGGCCATGTCCTCAGTACAAGGGGGTCATACCCTCCCACCTGGCACGGCAATTGCCCAATGCCAGACATCCTGGGCCCAGTCGGAACATGGCCACCACCGCTGGTGCAAGAGACGAGCCCCTTCGCCCAGGGCCCGAGGCTCCATGGGGCACACCCCGAACGAAGAACACTCCACAGTAGACAGCCCACACACGAGGAACCCACGGGCACCGTTCTGACTAAAGGGTCGGTCTTTACCCTCGTGCCAACTGCCCAGTCGACGCGTGGCGACGGGCCTGTCGGCCAAGAGGGTGGGCCCTTTGCTGACGGCCCAGGGCCGCGTGCTCGTCCCCCCAACGAAGAAGATCGAGCAGCAGATCGACCAAGCACGAAGAACACTTTTTTCGTCAGCGGCGAGGCGGCGAAATCCGCTCCAGCAAGCAGCTAGGTAGGGACACTATCTAGCGAATTGGCCGGCGTGCAAGGCGGGAGGGGGCAGGCCGGGAGGAAGGAGGGACGCTCAGACGCCAAAGAATTCGACGAAAATGCGAAGAACACACGGGCACCCTGAAAACAACGGTCGTTCTTGCTCCACCCTGGTGCCCGCTGTGCAGTCGACGCGCGGCCACAGTCACGCGGGTCAAGAAGAGGAGCCCCGCAGCCGAAGGTCCGAGGCCGCGTGGAGAGAGCCAAGCGTGGAGAACGCAGGGGTGCCCCTTCAAAGCAAGGGTTGCTCTCGGCCCTCGTGCCAGCTGTACAGCAGAGTCAAACATCTCTCGGGGGTGCATGTTGCTGTCCCATACGGGCGATCTCGGAAACCCTGAGCCCCAACACGTTTCCATCTCTTGGGGGCGCTACTTTTACTTCCGCCGCCTTCCGCCGAGCTTCCGCCGGCTCCCGCGGCGGAGGCGGCCTCGTTTTAGATCCGCAGACGTTCCGCCGCCTTCTGCCGAGGAAGAGATGACAACTTCTTATCCTCGAAAGCAAGGCCCTTTTTGGAACGCCTCATATGTTTCTCTCGGGGGGGGGGGGACTTTTTGCTTTCGCTGGCTTTCGCCAGCTTGTCGCCAACCTCCCGCCAACATCGGCCTCCGGAGGCGGAGCCGCCCTCGATTCATCCCCGCGGGCGTCCGCGGAGCCTCAGCCAGAGATTCAGCGTAGGGAGGAAGATGTTTCGAATGCTGTCCATCCACGTGGAGGGAGTGACGAGGGTGCAGAATTGGAGTCAAGCCAGTCTCCTGGCACTGGCGTGCCTGTGGTGGCTCGTCTGCGAAGGAAGCAGTCAGGTCGCGCTCATCATAGACAGCGAGTGCACGGTGGGGGGTAGCGTCAACGCGCGCGTGTGCCCAACCGAGAGCAGTTCGGCCCAAGAGCCGCCTGGAGCGGCGTACGTCGCCCCCTAGTGCACAGACTGAACCCAGAGGAAAGCGGTGCATCGGCGCGGGCTCATGCGAGATCAACGGGAGACGACTTCGGCCCGACCTGCCTGCTGGCGTTTTGTTACCAGCGATGCGCAACCATGCGCAGCGATGCGCACGCTACTATCAATTGGCGGCGAGCGCGGGGGGGGGGGAAGTGTGAATGGGGTGGGCTTTCTCAGAAGGCCCGGGAGACCCCCGGTCGCCTGAGAAGTTTTCTACGCCCCCCCCGGAGACGCAGAAAACTTCTCAGAAGGCGCGAGGGCTTCTGAGAAGCCCCGCCGCCTCCTGGGAGGGCCTTCCCCTTCTCACTCCCCCCCCTCGCTCGCCGCCGAATCGAGGCCGCAGGCGCTCCCGCCCCGCGAAGGCGTCGGCCCAACATGCAGAGGGGGATGCGATGCACGGCAATCGGAGCCGGGGCGACGAGGCGGGGGAGGGAGGTCGCATCGACAAGAGAGGCCCGTCGCGGCAAGAGCTGCGGAGGCTGCGCGGCAAAAGCTGCGGGGCCACGCGGTAGCAAGCGTGCGTGCGCCTGCACATGCCGTTCAGGAGGAGAAGCGGCCGCCGAAGGAGCCAAAAAAAGGGGGTGGCCCGGTCAGACGGTGTACGTCTTACTGTATGACTGAGTACCTACCCAACCACCCCAATCCAACCCGAAGACCCAAGTTTCGGGTGTGGGGAGGGGGCGCGCTCCATCTGCATGTTTGTTCAATGTTCCCCGACCCCCTCCCCAACACTGGGAATGTAGGCCAAATTGGGGCCTTCGGGTTGGGTTGGGGTGGCTTGGTGGGTGGTGACTGGAAGTCTTCCTTGGAGGTGGGGGAACAAAAAGATACCACAAGCCACCATGGTTCGCGTACCGCGCCCCGCGGTCATCTTCGCCCCCTCGCGCCTGGGAAAGGCCAGCGCAGCGGTCCCAGCCGCGACCCGCGAAGCGCGGGCAGCTTCGTGCCCCTTGGGGCGACCTGGGATGCAAACACACCGCTACTGCCTGGGCCTCCCCCGCTGAACGCTCTGCCAAGGGTTCCGCGAGGGGGGCCCGATGTGGAAAGCTCGCCTGGTCGACGCCTCACCCGACGAGGACGGCTACCGGCCCACCAGACGGCCTATCCCACGGCCAACTAGACAGCTTCTGGTGTCACGGATGAACGCCACCACGACAGGGGCCACCAGCATGGCTCAGGAAGGGCCCCTCTCCCTGCCACCCAAGACGGTGGGACCACGGGTCCACCCGCAACCACTGCGACCCCTTCCCAGCCCCCTGACACGGCATGCCACGCGGGCCCCGGGGCGCAGGCCAACCCTCCTCGCGAGGACGACCTCACTCAACGCCCAAGGCTACCCCACCTCTGCCACGACTGCCAAGCTCTCGCCGACTGGGCCACCACCACTCCCAACCCCCTCCAGCGCGACAGCAGCGCCAACACCAGCGCGGACGACACCCACCTCGGCACAACCGCCAGCATCGCCCCCAGCGCCGACGACACCTCGACCCCAACGCGTCAACAACGTCGCCAGCGCCCTCGACTCCGACACGAAGGTCGACCGGCCGAGGAGTGCCTGTGCCACGCCTCAACAGGCTGGGCGCGGTCCCGAGACGGCGCACCGCCGCACCGGCGTCGCTGCCGCGCCACGAGGGGGGGGCATACGGTGAGGAACTTTTGATTAGCGAGTCGCAGCGGCGGCCCCTGCGACACGCTGCGCTTGGCAAGCCAATGACGTGTCGCTCTGCTTCGCGGGACGGCATGCTGGGAACAGCCCGGGCTGTTGATTCTCGGGGTCTGGCCTGGGGCTTGCTTAGCGTGTCACGCCGACGCGTGGTGGGCCAAAACTGGCGGCGCAACGACCTAAGGTTGACTGTAGGGGGGAGGGGAACGCATGAAGGAAGTAGGCGGCACGGGGGGGGTACCAAACTGCGTCTTGGCCGCTCGTGTAGCAAGTGCCCTCTTTCCGACGCTGGCGCCGCCGTCGGAATGGGGCCGCGTTCGCACTCCTGCGCGACCACAAAAATCCCTAAAAGTGTGCCTCAAACCGAGTGTGGCACTGACACCATGAAACCAGGTCCCCTCTCGGGGCATGATGATGAGGAGGAGGAGGAGGAGGAGGAGGAGGAGGAGGAGGAGGAAGCCGTTGCACGACTCGGGGGCGCGGACTCCCCGCCTGCCCCTCGACACAACGGTGGGGGGTTCCGCAGTGGGCGACAGGCTAGTTACGCGCGGCACCCGGCGATGGCGGCCGAAGAGCCCGCGACGCTCATTGACATCGACGTGTGCAATGCTTCGGGGGGCTGTCCGAGTGCGAGGCGGACCAATGCTCCATCCGCGACATCGGCAACAGCATCTACAACCAGTTCCTTCCGGACCACGGCGATTCCAGCGCTCGGGCCGACAGCCGCCCGTCGCGCGGCCCAGCGCAGAAGGATCACCGCTTGCGAAGCCGCAGTACATCGTCATCCAATACATCGTCGTCCAGTCACCCAGTACATCGTCATCCAAATCCCCATCCAGACCAGCGGCGCCGTCTCCTACGGCTCCACCGGCTCGCCTCAAGCCGAGCTGGGGGCTGAACGCCATGGGAAGGCCGAGGCCCCCGTGTGGCCGCCGCCAGCGCCAGGCGCCGCCTACCCCGCCGCCCACCGCGTCGCCGAGGCGGCGGCGGAGGCCGTGAGGGCAGCCGCGGAGCGCCGCCAAGGTGCCGGGGCCGTGGCAGAGCGCCTGGCCGAGGCCCAGCGCCGAGCCAAGCTCGCGATGGCGGTCCAGGGCGAGGTCGTGGAGCCCGTCGGCTCGGAGGAGGCCTTCAGCCAGGATGGCTTCGGCGAGGCGGAGGAGGAGGCGGAGACGTCGGAGGTCGCCGCCTGGGACGACCAGGCCGAGGCTCAGCGCCTCGCCGACGCCGCGTGCCGTACCGAGGCCACGGGGGGGCCGGCCGCCAGACGGCGCAGAGCAGCCACCCCGCGACCCAATCGTCGCGCACCGGCCTGCGGAGGGCCGCCAGGAGACCCTCGTGGTCAGGAACCTCGACCCGGGAGTTGACGGCACGGGGCTCTGCGCCACCTTCGGCCTGCTTGAGCCCACGCAGTTCTACAGAGTCGAGCTCGACGACTCTAGGAGCTCTCGAGGCTAAGGCTACGTGCAAGTGGAATCGCACAATCACGTCCAGAGAGTCATCGATCGCGCGAAGCTCGGCATCCCGATCGGCGACAGAAAGGCGGTGGTGTCCGCGATGCCCTTCGCGGACGACGTCGCTGGCACCACCCTCTGAAAGGCCCTCTCCCAAGCGTCCCCTCCCCCCTTGCCCACCCACTTTCCGCATTTCGCCCCCGTCCGCTTCTCTCGCTCACCTTCTCCTCCTCCCTCTCCTAGGATGGGCACGGGATGGGGGCTTGGGAGACGAGGGAGGTAAGATGGGGGCTGATGAGGCGTGCGATCCAACGAGAGTCACTCGCCCGTCACTCGCGAGTGCCATGGGCTCGTAACTCAACGTCGCAGGACAGCCCTGCCAGAACGTTCGCGTCACCAGAGCGTTTAAGCTGATCACTTTGTGCCCGCTTACTTTTGCCTCACCCCCGTCGCCTGCCCTGGACACTCCCGCTGCCGCTCCGCCTCCTGTCCACAAGGGCAGTGGCTACGGTGCTCAACCCGAAATCAATCCCCAAGAAGCACCGGTGAACCCACAGCAGTGTTCCTCACTCTCGTGCATGCACTGTTTGGGCCCCATGGAGGTTCCTGGGGTGAACCGCCACACCCCAGCGCGCGGCGCCGGCGCAGCACCGTGCCTGGCCGCTGCCTTCCGGCCCATCCTCCGTGGCCATCAGCGCGGTTGATGCTCAAGTGTGTGTGTGTGCTGTGCTTGTGTAGCGGCAACCGCCGACCCCGCGGGTAGCGGCAGCAGATCTGACGCTTTGCACTTCACCTTCTCCCTACCCCTCCTCTTCCACCATACGGTGGAGGTTTTAGATAAGGGTACCTTCGATAAGGATCCCAGGGTCTCGCGACCGATGGGCGGCCAAACGTGGGCCACCCACCTCGCCTTGAAACAATAAGCAATGCGCCAGGGTCTGGGCCCCAAGAAGACGTTCCTTATGCAATGCCGCCGTCGTGTTTCATGCCTCCCTCCACCGCCCCATCACGAGCACGACGTGCAGAGGCATGCAGGTTGCCAGCCCTGCACCATCGCGCTCCTTGCGTCAAGGAAGCTGGAAACTCCGCGCTGCCCGTGCCCTCCTCGCACCCCGCCCCTTGCCTCTCCCGACCTCTTCAGACGACGACCAGCGCACGTCTTGCAGCCGCCAGTCACCACGTGCAGAAGCGCGCAGGGCGCCCGCTCGGAGGAGTCCAGTCTTGCCTGGAGGAGGAAGCACCGGAGCATGAGGCTTTGGACCCTTTTTGGGCCCAGAGCCGAGCTTGCACGACTGCCGTCGCAGAAGTGCACCACCCTGCGCGACCGCCGGCCTGCGTCCCACTTTCCCCCCACTGGGCCCTCACCCCCACCAGTGCCTGAGAAAGGTCCACACGAGGTCGCTTGGCGACCCGTGAGGTGCGAAGTGCGCGTCGCAGGCGCGCGCCCAACCCGCCTCCAGCATGAGGCGCCACGCAGCCGCCGTCGCATCACGCCTGTACAGGGAGCCTGCCCACCGCGACCACACCGAGCCCGCCCCCACGTGTCGATACGAATCCAAACCGCAATTTCACCGCGACCGCCGCCGGAGGATGAGGAGGACGAGGACGAAGACAGACCTCTACCACAGCCATCAGGGACCAAGATCCGTAGCCTGGAATCCGCCCCAGAGCTCTCCTCCCCAGGGAGCTCGGGGGGTTCTCTGGGGCTTGTACGGTCACTCCTCGCTCACCTCTCCCGCCGCTCCTCTTGCTCCCCTCTTGTCCCAGTCTTCCTCGCCTCCGGGTAACCCCCCTTCGACTACAAGGCCCGCTGTTTGCCGCAGCGCGCCGCTGCCAGGCACCCTCATTTGATCAACCCCTTCAAGGGCAACAGCCCCTTGGGGGGGGGGATGGCCACGTTCGTAGAACTTGAAGGGCGAGGGGGAGAGATAGAGAGAGAGAGAGAGAGAGAGAAAACAAAACAAACAAAAAGAATAAGAAGAAGAGAGAAACAACAACGAGAGAGAGGGATAGAGAGAGAGAGATAGAGAGAGAGGAGGAGGAGGAGGAGGAGGAGGAGGAAGACCTGTGCAAACCCAAGACTCATCAGGATGCGGAAAGAAACCCTCCCTCCAAGCTCCTCGTCATCGGCCCCTACGTATATTCATTTCCACTGAGGGAAATGCCCCGTGGGGAGACAGCCGTTTGAAAATCCTGAAGCATGCGAAAACATTATTCGCGGAACTCCGACGCCACGAATCAACCTGACTGTTGCGGCGTGACGATCCTCAATCGTGCCAGAAGTTAACTTGTGATACTTCAATGCCGCGAAACAACGTAACTGTTGCCTCAATGAGCGAAGCTGCTGCAAATGTTTAAGACGAATGCGCGCGGCGCTAAGGCGAGAACCACACGATGAAAGAAAACGTCCTCAATCCGTGAAGCGCCTGCAAATGTTTAAGATGAATGTGCGCGGTGCAAAAGCGAGAGCCACATTTTGAAAACAACCCACCCTCAATCCTTGAAGCTCGTGTAAACATTCAACACGAGTGTGCGATCCGCTAAGGCGAGAACCATACCTTGAATGCCACACGCCCTCCATCTGCGAAGCTGTTGCCAAATCGTAAGCTTCAGGATCATGAATGGCCAAGGGATCTCAAGCGAAACGTCCGGCCCGTCCTTTCGACCGGCCTCGGGGCGCGACAGGGAGGCAGCATCCATAAGGGAAAAAAAAACGGAGGAGGAGGATGACAACGACGACGAGGAGGAGGAGGAGAGGCAGCACGAGAACCAGCAGCAGCGGCGCGGAGCAGCCCGCACGCGCGCGCGCGAGCGCCTGCTGCAGCCCCGCCTCGGAGTGCCAGGCGGTCAGCAGGGAGCAGTACAGCGCCTGCTCGGGAAGGGCGCGAGCCCGCCCCCTTCCCCTCCTGCTGCGGCAGGGAGGCTGCTGCGCGGCGTGTCGCGGCGGCCTGCGAGGCTCACGGCGTGTCGCCCTGCTTCGTGGCACGGGGGGGGCCTCGACAAAAACCGTGGATCGCGCTCGGGGCCTGGGGCGTGCACAGCTCGTCGCGCCAAAGCATGGCGGGCCAGAGGCGGTGGCCCCACGCGCCGAGCAAGCGACCCTGGCTGCAAGTTCGGGTCGGACGGCACGGGGGGATGTAGCCAAGGGGGGGGCTCTTGGCCACGCACCATGGCGGCTCTGGACAAGGGCGACCGTCGATGTGCGGCTTCAGGGAGCCGCGGGGAGGGCCCAATCTAGAGGCGCCAGCAGGTGCCGGGCGGGGCCGTGGGCCCGGATACTCGGGGTCCTGTTGAAGCCAGCCGCCTGGGGGGCTGCCTGTGCGCAACCCGAAGCCGTACCACTGGTTTCGGGCCATCCATCTCGGGCCCCCGGCAGCCGTTCGGGACGATCTGGGCACCCGGGAACGCTCTCGGCGAGGCGCAGCTGAAGGAGAGCACAGCTGAAGGAGAGCACCTTGAGGCTGGGAAAATGCCACGAACGGGTGGAGACGCCTGCAAACCTCAACCCTCGAACCTGCCGTCCCCCGTGGCCTCCTTGCGCGCGCCACCAGCTCCTCCTCCCTCCCTCCTCCCTCCTCGAGGCTATCTGGCGAGGCTGCGGCGGGGGCGCGCGCGTCCAGTGGGAGGGAGCGGCTCGCGCGCAGCTGCCTTCAGCTCGCGCCCGGGCCCCAGCTGCCGCTCGTTGCCTGCCCAATCCCTGCGCCCTTCTGCTCCGCGTCCAGAACGGATTACGCCAACTTCGTGTCGCGACGACCCCGGGCATGAATCCCTGACACCTTGCACTCGGACTCGGACCTGCGAAGTGCACGCCAGCGGGGGCGCTCCAGGCGGGCGCCGTGGCGCCATGGCGTGAAAGTTGTGCGGCGTCAGTCTCTCTGCGCGGTGCAGCCGGGGATGGGGAGGGACACGCGAAGGGAGAGAGGGACGCACGACAAGCGAGCACGAGAGGCGAGGCCGAGGGAGAGAGGGAAGGAGGGACGAGCGACAAGAGGGACGACGGAGGAAACGCGAGTGAGAACGCCAGTCGCAACTGAGCCTGATCCCATGGCTTTCCTGGAGGGTCATCTCTGCTATGTCTGCTGCTTCGCATGCAGAGAAAATTGCAGAGACACCGTGGGGGTCCTTCAAGCTTGAGCGAGCGCACGTTTCCAAAACGCTATAGATTGTTCCAGGTTGGCCAATTCTGAGCCACTGGTGGCGCTGAACCTTGCACACGCCCGCGGCAGGTCGGCGACATATCTTCGCGCGGTTCGATATTTGGTGGGTTGCATGGAGACCTTCCAGGAGGGAATCTGAATTGCGACCTGATTCGCCACAGACAGCGGTCAGATGATGACGGCACTCAACTGGCTTCATACAAACGAGCATTCGAAAGCATTAAAGCACGGGCGCCAAGGAGAGTACATGCTCACGGCCCATCCACCACATAAGTCCGCCCCCCCGACCAAACCCTCCCAATAGGTATGACAGGTTGGCGCCGTGCGTCGCTAAGGCACGACCAGGCTCCGACCCAAAACGGGCGGAGTACAGGTCAGGTCTACTCCAATCCCCCCCAAACGCTGTCCCATCCCCGCCAGCAACTCTTGCCGAAACAGGCGCAGCCATTAACGGTGCACGAGTGGGGGATGAGAGAGGGGAACACATAAGAGCAGGGGAGATAGCAGGGGAGAAGGACATCGTCTCTCAGCGAGTCCACTGCGGGCACCATCGTGCCAGAAAGCATGGCGGGGCACGCTATTCGCACTCTCGGCCACGCCGCCAGCAAGTGATCACCAGCACGTGGCACGCACCACAAAATGCAAAGAGACGGTCTTGACAAACGAACTCCACGATGTCCGCAAGCAGTGGGCGGGCAAAGTAGCGACAGCAAGAGGCAGCACCCCTTCCCTTCTACCCCGTCACTGCAGCAACCCGACCCTGCTACCCCTTCTCTGCCGCTCGCCGCGCGCGTGGAAGGGTGCGGAGGTGGGGGCGAAAGGGGAATGCATGAAAGTGACACCCCATGGACCCGAGTGGATACACGCTCCGTCGCATTTAAGCCGGCGTGGGCACCCGCATGGGCTCTGCGGGTCTACCTCCTCGGGAAATACTATTCACTGACGGGCGGCTTGGCATTCGCCTCTCCGCTTGTCCTCTGCGGACACCACATCTCCAGCTCGGCATGGCGGGGCGCGCTATTCGTACTCTCGGCCCGCTGCCAGCTCGTGGGGTCAAGCATTTGACATCATGGCGAAGTAGCCGCCCGCCCTTCTACACCATCCCTGCTATGTGCAAGAAAGGGCATGCAATGCTGCAACCCAGCTATGCTACCCCATGACTGCTGCACACGACCCGCATGAGAGGGGCAGGGTGAGAATGGAAGGTCAAGGAGGGGGAAGGGGGAGACTTAGGCATACTGAACACTCCTGTCATCGACCTACCCTCTTGCTGGGACTAGTCGAACAGGTTGAATCTGAAATTTGGATCCGTGGTGGATGGTGCAACAGCACGCAGCCTGGCCTCACGTTCAGCCTCTATCTTCGCCTTTCGCCGTCTACGGGCCTCTTGCCTATTCACCCTGATACGCTGCAGTTGGCTCTCTGACAGTGTGGCGGTAGTCAGCGGCGCTGGCCCTCGGCTCTGCTCCACCAAAAACTCCCTCGCGACAACATATTCCTCCTCGCACCGGGCTGCCTGACCTCCCTCCTCCTCTGCCTCCGCTTCCTGAGCCAGTGGGGGCTGGGAAGCGACCGGTTCCGTCGTTGCCTCCTGTGTTGCAGGCGCGGGCAGGAACCTCTCCATTCTGGGTCAGGACGGGCGCGCCTTTGGGCTCTGGGCGCAAAATCTGGGGCCCACGACTCCTCTGTGCCCGCGTGCGGATCCCAAGCAACCCAGAACTGTAGCAGCTCCTGGCGCGTCGCTTCCTCATCGCACATATCGCACGGGAGCTCGTCATCATGTGATCCCGACCCGTCGTCGAACATCGCACTGATAGTAGTGGCGATGCAGTCTGCGATACATCGGCACAACTCAGTCGGATACGTTTTTTTTTTCTGGGCCGTTCGCCAAGCTCGCGACTTCCGATCGTATCCTAGCAGGGCCCGATGTCCACCCCTCCCGTGCGAGCACCTTCCCCGCCCAGGCGTGTTGAGCAGTGCTGTGTGTAGCCCTGGCATCCTAAGGGCTAGTATACGTGTCGGGGCACGTGAACTCTGTCCGTGCTCACACTGGTCGAAGTCCGCGGTAGTTACGGCGGGCGACGACTCCAGTGCACGTAGAGGGTGCCAGCTGAAAGAACTGACTGCCTGTAGCCTCCGCCCGCAAGGCTGTGGATGCTCCATCCAGCAGGCGGTGCCCACCTCCATATGCACTGCAAACAGTTCCACCATGGCCTGGGACAGTGCATTACCTACCCACAACTGTTCCATTTGCCGTGGTGTCACGTTGGTTTTTCCCCAGAGGGCGTCGTGTGTACGTAAGGGGGGTGGCCCAGGGCCGTCGGACCATCGTGACGCAGACCGCGTCTCACATGGGGTTCCCCCTCCAGACAAAACAACCCGCCGATCTCGAATATGCCGCTTCCACGTCTTGAGGGTATTTCTATTCATCATATCACCTAACGTCGCGTGGATCGCACTATCTACCGACAGCGCATGAATACAGCAGTTAGCCTCATAGTGGGACCAATCTAGATGTGCTTGAATATCTCCAGCCCTCCGACGCCCGCAATATACATTCAACGCGAAGTACTCAGTGCGCCGTGCATGTATGGGGGCGGACACTGCAGCAATCCCTGTGTACTGCTCTGTCAAGAACAACCGACTTGGGTAGCGCTCTGTGCTGAACTGAACATCCGCGGCAGGCGGCGGCGGCGGGGCAGCAGCATCGACATCAAAACGTCTGTTCGGCATCAGGGCGGCAGCCGCGTCCTCAGGCAAGACTGGGTCAGATCCGAGCAATGCAACGCGGGCATCATCCTGACACATCTCACCCTGCACCGTCGATGCATACTGTGGTAGAGGCCCCTCTGCACGCACCGTAGGGACTATCACATGGCGTCTCCCAATAGGTATGCCCGGGGCCCTCCCTATCGTAGGCGCCTCAAAGTCGGGGTAGTGGATGTGGTGGCATGGCGCGGCACCCGTTGCCGTCGCGCACGGATCCGATATCGCACACGTGGGGTCACTGTACAAGATATACAAACATCTTGGTGAATCCGACGCCAAATGGTCCACCAGATGCATGCGATTGTTGAATGTAGCAAGACGCGCACAGCATTGGCCATTTGGTGCCGCCCACACTCGTGCAAGCGCTGCCTGCTGTCTATGCCGTCGAGCAATATGCGCACGCCATGACGATTTCTTGCGAAAACCGGTTTGACACCGCGGACACATGTGCTCATCACTTGTGGCTAGGGCGGTCAGGTCTGGGGGAGGGTCGACACGCAACCCGTTGACGTCGGTATACACCCGCTCGGGGACGCCGATCGGTCGGACCGTCTGAAAGAAACGGGATTCCATGTCCTCGGCTGTCGTAACTCGACGATGGGCCTGCGCAGAGGCCTTCAGGGCTGTCCGAATGATATGCCTCCATCCTGAGAGACTTCGTCGTACAAGATTCTCCCATGGACCAAAATCCCCACTGGGCGGCGGCAGCTCGGCACAGACGACAGCAGCAACGCGAAGCCATTCGCAATCGTTCAACACGAGGCCGATCCACGACCTGGCGCGCGTGCCGCAATGTTCTCGCGCTGCCCGCTCAGCACCCAACAGTGCAAATGCAGGCCTCTGTCCGCTGTGCAACAATGAGCCGAGTTGTCTCAGCCTGGCTGCTCGACGTAGCCCGGACGGCTCAGGACGACCTAAAATGGCTCGAACCTGTGCGTCGGGCACGCACGAGTCTGTCTCAACGAAACGGACCCTGGCTGCTGCACGAAAAACCTTCATACTTTCGGAATCGGCCAACTTGGCCTCGGCGGCCGCGAGGGCGGCCCACGCCCCCGCATTGCACAACCGTCCTGACATGACGAAACTGTCGGCAAGAGTAAGACACGTGGGGTCCAGAATGTCCCTGGAAGTAAACACTTTGGTCCTGAGTACCTTACACGACGCCACCGTAGTATGCGACCTATACCGTATTTCGGCAGCCATACCCCCCAATGAGTCCATGACCGACCCCAAGCGCAGATAGTTTTTAACCACTGGTATCCGTATCCTCCCAAGAAGCCGTGTATCCGCCGTCACATGACCACCGCGCTCGTGCCATACATGCTGCTTTGCTTTCTTGGCCCCACGACCCCGCATTGATAGTAGTACGGCCGTTTTTGTAACACCTATGTTGAGCATATGCCCCTGGCCGAAAAAAAAACACATCGGCAACCACTTCCACAGCTCGACACATGGCAGGATACAGCTCGTCTGCAGACATGATCATCCTGATAGTACCATCGACTGCAAACGCTATGTCTGACAATACTTCAGAGGTATCCGCTTCCTGCCCACGTAGTATGCTGCATATGCTGCCGCAGCCGTGCGCTGGTAGCTGGATTGCAAGACCCTCGCCATCCAGTTGTCGTCGCACGTCTCCCATACATTCCCCCATCGATATTTCGTAAAGTACATCTGCCAAAGGCTGCCCAGGGAGTACTGACCGCTGAGGCAAGGATACCTGTTGCGAGCCTTCACATACAAACCACGGCGTACGATAG